GCCAGACTCTTGACCACTGAGCCATCTCTCCAACCCCTCTTTTTATTTTCATGTAATAAGAATTGAACTGAGGGTCTCTGGTATGCAAAACAGGCACTGTATCACTGAGCCAGCCCCCAGTCCTCTACCAGGTGATTCTAGGCAAGTACTCTATTACTGGGCTCTGACCCCCGCAACCGTTCATGGGGGATTCTAGGCAGGTGCTCTATCACTGAGCCACACCTCAGCCCCTCACTGGGGTATTCTAGGCAGGGGCTCTACCATGGAGCCACACCCCAGCCCCTCACTGGGGGATTCTAGGCAGGGGTTCTACTACTGAGCTATACCCCAGCCCCTCACTGGGGGATTCTAGGCAGGTGCTCTACCACTGAGCTATACCCGAGCCCCTCACTGGGGGATTCTAGGCGAGGGCTCTACCATAGAACCACACCCTAGCCCCTCACTGGAGGATTCTAGGCAGGGACTCTATCACCGAGCCACACCCCAGCCCCTCACTGGGGGATTCTAGGTAGGTGCTCCACCACTGAGCCACACCCCAGCCCCTCACTGGGGGATTCTAGGTAGGTGCTCTACAACTGAGCTGCAATGCCAGCTCCTGCTTTTTGCATTTCTTCTATTTTGCTCTTGCTCTTGCTCTTCCCTGCCCTTTTCTTGGGTGTTCTTTCTGGCCTTAGCAGTTGGTCTTCCTCTGGCCCCCTGCCTGAGGGCTGCATCCCAAGGCGCATCCTCTCCGCAGACCCCTGCTAACCTTTGCGAGCTTGCATGGCCTTGGTAGCCCAAAGTCTGGGCTGCAGCCCAGAGCTGTGTGCGTGACTGGACAATGCCCTGTCAGTCCCGCAAGCCAGCCCAGGCTCCACTGCCCCCTCTAATAGCAACACCCAAAAGCTTCCTATTGGCTACATCCAGGCTGGTGTGCCCGGAGGGAGCCTGTAAATAGAGAGACTAGAGAGGGAGGAAGAGAAGTGGAGAGAAAGCCTCCCTTCCTGCAATGCCTGCTGATAATTGGCTCTTGGGGACCAGCTGGGGACACAAGGGCCAGCTGGGCCAGGAAGTGTTGTACAATGCTCTTCTTTCAGGAGAGCCACTGCTGGCCTTAGGTCCCGTGTGACTCCAGCGGAGTAAAGAGAACAGGGTGTTCTTAGAGGATGTTCTCGAACCTAGACCCCCCTCCAGAGGTGAGACACAGAGCCCCCTGCAAGTCCCCCCTCCCTCCGTTTGCACAGGCACTCGCCTGCAGAACCAGATCCGTCCAGACCAAATAATTTCTCTCCGAGTCTGGGCAGCAACTGAGTGGTATGGGGGAGCAGGTAGTGTTGAGGTTTGGGGACCCCCATCCTGTCCTTTCTTAAGTGTGGGGGCATAGAGAAGGAGAAGCCAGAGTCTCTACTCTGGGTCTGTGTTGTATGTGTGTATGATGTGTTCATGTGTGTGTGTGTGATATGTAGACGTGTTTGTAATGGTGTGGGCATGTGGAAACCAGAGGTCAACTTAAGGTGCCTTGTTTGGTGGGTCCCCATCTTATTTTTTTCCAGACAGCATCTGCCCTTGAACCCGGAGATCATCTGACCAGTGAACCTTAGGAATCCGCCTATCTCCGCCTCTCTATCACACTCCGCAGATGACAGAGTTATGAGATGCACACCAGACCTTTATTTTATGTGGGCGCTAAGAGTTGAATTCGGGGTTCATGGTTGCATGGCTGTAGCTTGACAAGTGCAAGAAAATGGTAAAAATGTAGCCTTTAGGACTTTTAAAGTGACATTTACTTATTTATGAGAGGTGGAAGCATGCGCTTGCCAAGGCGTGCATATGGGGTTCACAGGACAATGTGCAGGAGTCTAGTCTGAGTTCTGGGGATTGAACCCAGGTCGTCAGGTTTAGCGACAAGCACCTTTTCCTGCTGAGCCATCTCTACCAGCCCCAAAATGTAGTCTTTGCGATATAGATAGATGTAGAAGTTTGTGTGATGTCGGATGGACCGTGAGGGCGTCATCTGGGCAAACTGGTCTTAACAGGAACATCTACCCCAGAATTACCCAGGGTTCTGGGTGCCTCTGAGGTGCCCCCACCCACTTCTTTTGAGACAGGATGTTAATATTGCCTGGCATGGCCTAAATCACTCTGTAGCCCAGGTGCACCTAGAACAGAGGAGCCTCACGCTTCAGCTTCCTCCAGTAGCGGGGATGACAGGTGAGCACCTCCCAGCCTGGCCACAGCCAGCTTGCTTTAAAGAGCCTAGCATGAACCAGACGTGGTAGCACATATCTGTAATCCTGATAAGAAAGACCTGAGGATTGTGAGTTCAAGACCAGCCTGGACTAGTGAGCTTCTATCTCAAAACTGGGGGGAGGGGAGCTGGGGATACAGCTCAGTTGGTGGCTCACTTGCCTAGTCTGTGTGAGGCCGTGCGTTCATCCCAAGCACCAAGTAAATGGGGTACGGTGGAGCACACTGGTAATCCTAGCACTCAGGAGGTAGAGGCAGGAAAATCAGAAGTTCAAGGTCATTGTCTGCTACATAGTGAATTCAAGGCCAGCTTGGAATAAATGAGACTCTGTCTCAGCAAAACCAAAAACTCGAGAATGTTAGCGCTCAGGCCCGCCTTGTGTCTCAGAGGCCTGAGAGGCTGTGTGATCTGCAGAAACTGAGCTATAACCGAGAGCCATGGTGGGGCCTCCGCACCAGTGAATGTTTCTGGAAGGGCACCGGATACACCAGTAACACCGGATGATCTCCTGTGAGCACCCCCAGCTCCAGGAGAGGATGTTGGGTAACAGCTAGCTATAAGTGCCCCAAGTGACTTTTACATTTATTTATTGTACGTGTGTGGTGGGAGTGAAGTGCGTGCACACGTGTGTGACGGTCGGAGAACAGTTTATGGGAGTTATTTCTGCCCTACAGTGCAGGCCTGGGGCTTAGTGGCAAGCACGCTCAACCCACTGAGCCATCTTGCTGACTCGGGAGTTAGTATCTATTTCAGGATTGAGTTAATTTAGATGGGAAAACCCACTCTGAATGTGGGCAGCACCGTCCAATTGGCCTGAATAAAAGTGAGCTGCCAGGTGGTAGCCACGGTGGCTGCACACCACACACGCCTTTAATCCCAACACTTTGGAGGCAGAGGTGGGTGGATCTCTGTGAGTTCAAGGCCAACCTGGTCTACAGAGTGAGTTCCAGGATGGCCAGGGCTACACAGGGAATCCCTGTCTGGGGTTGAGGAGGGGAGAGAGCTGAGCACCAGCATCCATCTCTCTCTGCTTCCTGCCTGTGGATACCCACGCTCCAGCTGCCATGCCTTCCCCACTATGATGGACTGGACCCTCGGACTATGAGCCATAAGCTACCTTTTCTCTCTTGTGTTGCTTCTGTTAAGGATTTCTGCCGCAGGAATGAGAAAAGCAACAAACACCCGCCTTCTTCACCAAACCCAGTGCTAGATCAGGTCTTTCACAGTTGTGCTGGACCCAGGCTTGGAGGCAGTGGGCCCCGAGCATCAGTGACATTGTCCTTACAGCTACCGTCCTCTCCCACACAGTGGGATCTCATCTAGCCTACCCTGTGAGTCTTTCTCATAGGCACTCAGAGAGGTGATTGGCGGGTCAAATGACCTAGAGCGTGGCAGTGATTTGCTTCAGAATAATCCAGGGAGTGAGGGCCCAGTGGTTGGTGGTAGCTGTACCTCAAAATAAACAGATAAATAGAGCCTGCATTGGCCCAGTGATTGGGGGTGCTTGCCATCAAGCCTGTGATCTGTTTGATTCCTGGGTCACACGTGGTGAAAGGAAAGAATCAACTCCCACAAGTTGGTCTCTGACCTACGTGTGCATAGTTTGGCAGGCAGGCATCCTTCCCCAATCCCCGCAATGCACAAAGTAAATAAATAATTAAAAACCTTTTTTTAGAAAAGTCAAAACAACAGAGGCTTGGATGGTGGCTCAGGGGTTGAGAGCACACATACTATTCTTGCAGAGTGCCTGAGTTCAGGTCCCAGCGCCCATATCAGGCGGCTCACAGCGCTAGCCCCAATGCTCCTGGCCTCTCCTAGCGTCTGCACTCACGTACACATACCCGCAGCCAGACCCACACATACACAGAATCTTCCAAAATAATAACCCTTTTAAAAAATTTCAGCTACAAACTAGCTTACATGATATGATGCCATTTAACATTTGTGCGCATTATTCATGGGTCTGTGAACTCTGTTAAAATTAGCACCAGAGTCTTGATTTTGAAAACAACAGGAAAGGAATAATTTCATGTTTTTCCATGTAATTAAGGAAGGAAAAAGGATTTGCCCCCAAGTTGGAAGGTGACCAAGAGTGGATGGAGGGCCAGGGGAGTTTTGTTTTGTTTGTTATTTGCGGGAAGAGTACTTGGTACAGCTCTTGCGTGAAGGTCGGGGAACACTTGTGGATTGGGATCTCCCCTTCCATCTTCCTGGAGGTCCTGGGAGGAGCACCCCGATTGTCTGGCTTGCTGTGCAGCACCTTTACCCACTGATCCCTCTCGCCAGCCCTCAGTGGGAAGGTTTAGAAATGGCAGAGGGATGGCTGGCTGGTCTCAGGCCACAGTGGCTCCCCGACATCAGCATCTCTTCCTCTTGTACTCTGAGGAATAATGTTTCCCTGGGGATGAAAAAGCCTTCCTTTGTGTGGCCCCTTAATTACCATGCTGTTGTGCCAAGCCAGCGAGTAGCAGGCGGGTGCAGCAGCTGGGCACAGCCAATGCCAGGCAGCAAAGCCTGTTCCCTTGGGACAGCCTGGGACAGCTGGTCTGGGAGCACTGCCCACCTCTGCCCCCACCCCCCGACCCCCAAGCTGGGTACCCGTGGAGGATCTAGAGGGCCCTGGATGGTCTAAGGGCAATCAGAAACCCCAAGGGTCATTGGAGGAGGGGGAGGAGGGGAAGGAGAAGGAAGAAGTGGGAAGTTGGGAGGGTCTCAGCCACTCTCAGAGGCTTATTTATTTCATCCTCTCCCCCTCCCCCATCTTGTTTTGCAGACTGTCAGCGTCAATAAAGCCATTAATACGCAGGAAGTGGCCGTGAAGGAAAAACATGCCAGGAATATCCTTTTGGATGTGATCCTTGGGAGGCTGACCCTTGGCGGGGGGTGTCAAATATTGGGAACTGAGGTCAGGAGGAGGCTTCTCGCCTGGCAACAGGAAGAGTAACCCTTGCCTGGGACAGGAGGCTGCCGATGGAAGCCACTTCCGGTCTAACTGCAGACCCAGAGAGCACTGGTCTCAGACACGCACGCCTGGCAAGGCCCCAGGGACCCAGGAGGCCATCCAACCCAGACCTTTTCTCTGTATCTAGTTAAGTCTTCAGCCCAGGACAGATGACTAATTGAGGTGTCCGTTAACACACTAAAGCCAACCTGGCCACCAGGTTCTCCCAGTATCCCTCAGTCCCTGCCCGTTACACAGTCCTGACTGGCAAACCCCTAAACTTCTCTAGCCCAGATGCTGGGCTGCCCTTCCCTATACAACCCCACCATTTTGGTTACCTGGCCTTTTCAGCTCATGTATTCTTCCCCGACCTGGCCTCTTCGTCTGGTTCTCCCCTCTCCCCTCACGGCCCAGCTCAGTCTGGTCATGTTCACTCTGGACTCTCCCCCGAAGTCCCTGCCTACGACTATGCTCTCCGTGCTGAGCTTCTCTCCAGCCTCCACTTATTGATGGTTTTTGGTGGTGGTGGTTGTTAGACAGGGCCTCATTGTGGTCCTACATGTTGGCCTCAAAATTGGGATACTCCTGCCTCTAGATCCCACTGGGATTGTAGATGTGTGTCACCATGCCCAGCTTCTATTCCTCACTTTAATAATGTCTGAGAAATCCTCCTAAGCTGGCTCAGCTGGCAGAGGCTGGTCACGATGGACATCCCTTGTCTGGTTCTCAGAAAGCACAGTGGGCCAAAGGAGCCTGTCTTCAAGGCTGTCCTCCAGCATCCACACATGTACTGTGGCATGCTCCGCTCACACCCACACACGCATGGCATCCATGTGAGCAGTGATCACGAGCACAACAAAAGTCAAAGAGGGAACCCTGTGTTAAGGTGGTGGCTGTGTGCTGGAGAGAGATGGCTCAGGAGTTAGGAGCACTGGCTGATCTTCCAAAGGACCCAGGTTCAATTCCCAGCACCCACACGGCAGCTCACAACTGTCTGTAACTCCTATTCCAGGGATCCGACACCATCACACAGACATAAATACAGGCAAAACATCGATGGACATAAAATACAAATAAATAAATTATTGTTATTATTTTAAATGGTAGCAATGGTCCCAAGAGCCCTACCCAGCCAAGGCCACCCCTAGCCCAGAGTCACATGTGCAGAGTGGAGGGCCTGTCCCTCTCAACACACTTCATTCCTGGGGACAATGGTGACACATATCTGTAATCTTGACCACTAGAAGGATGAAACAGGGATTGTCATGAGTTGGAGGCCAGCCTGGGCTACCGACTGAGGGGGCAGGGGACTGGGAGTGTGACTCAGCTGGGAGGGTGCTTGCCTTGGTCCCAGCCAGTCCCAACCTGGCATAAACTAGGTGTGTTCCTGTATAGCTGTAATCCCAGAAGTCTGGAGGTGGAGATAGGAAGATCAGAAGTTCAGAATCATCCTCCATTAACAAACTAATTCCAGGACAGCCAGGGTACTTCAGTGTTGACCCAGTCTCAAAAAGACAGGGGAGGGGGCGGTAAGATAACTCAGCAGATGTAAAAGGAGCTTGCCATCAAGCCTGAGGACCTGGGTTCAGTCCTCGAGACCACACATGGAACTGATTTTAACAAGCTGCCCCTTCCCCTGTCTTCTACACATGTACCTAGGCATATGAGTTCCCACACGTACACATGCACACACACATAATTATAATGCATGAATAAATTAAAATGTAATTTTTTAAAAAGACAGTTCCTTTTTAGGGGAAACCATTATAAAATAGAGAGCAAGATATTTTAATACCCTCAGCCTCCAAACTGCCGGAGCATACGTGTAGAACTGTGGGGTTTCAGCAGTGAGTGCTGCCCCACCCTCCTTGCCAGCACCACGGGCCAGGCCCTTGCTTTCCCTGACTCCCCTCACCCTGCATCCTGGGCACCCACCATGAGAAAGGGGCGCAGACATTTTGGTCCGTGGTTAATCGGCTGCCCCTGTCCAGCAACGCCATGCTGTGCTGGAAGTTCTGCCACGTCTTCCACAAACTCCTCCGCGACGGACATCCAAACGTGAGTCCCTGGGGCAGTAGGGGAGGCCAGTGGCGCATGCGGGGTACAGGAAACGGATTTCCCTTCCTGCCGCCCGTCCGTGACAGATGCCAGCGAGCAAAGACAGGAACGGAGGCTTTTATTTATGTGTGTATGTCTATGTGAGTGTATGCCACATGTGTCCAGGTGCCTGACGAGGCCAAAAGGGGGCGTCAGATTCACTGGAACTGGAATTCCAGGATGTTGTGAGCCACCCAGTGTGGGAAGCAAACTCTCTGCAGGAGCTGTAAAACACCCTTAACTGCGGAGGCATCTCTCCTGCTCCAGGAACTGAATCTTGAAAACTATTTTATCCAGAGAGCCAGCAATTAGAGAAGACCATGGCTTCTAGCTCATCTTAAGCCAGCAGATTATATAGGGAGAAGGGGTGGAGACAAAGGTTGTCAATCATTTCAGTGTTCAGCCTTGCCCGTTTGCTCGGGTGATCCCCCATATTTCAGATCAAAAAAATCTCACTTCTGCTATTCATACTTCTCATTATCATCCCTTGCACCCTTCTCTCCTTCTGTGGGTGTCTGGGCTCAGATGTTTATTGATAAACTTAGTCAGGTTAGCGTCTGCTGGTGTCAGCCTATGCCAGAGGCACCTGGGCCAGGAGGCGGTGTTACACTCCCCTGTGTGAAGCCAGCAGCAACATTGTGTATGTACTGATTACACTAAAAAGTATGAAGTGTGGGTGTCTTTATAATATAGAATATGGAAGCACCACATTCATCTCTCCTGTCCCCTATCAAAAGCAATCGACAGGCCAACAGGATAATCCCAGGAACCCATGGTAGAAGGAGAGAACTGATTTCTGAAAGTTGTCGTCTTATCTGTGGCCCCTGCACACCCATTCACACACACACACACACACACACACACACACACAGTGGTAAAAGAGATTGCTGTCTGCTGCCACACCCCTGGTCTTTGATTTCCCATAGGAGGTGGATCCATCCCTTCTGATGGGTCTCTTCCCCACCTCAAGCCCAGGTAGACTGTTCTCTGGCCACCCGTGTCTCCTCTCATGGTTCTTCTCTTCTTTTCTAGGTGCTAAAAGACTCTCTGAGATACAAAAATGAATTGAGCGACATGAGCAGGATGTGGGTGAGTGTGGGGGTGCACAAGGGACCCCCCCTACTCATTCCCAGAACATGGGTGGTAACCAGTTACCTCCTGCTTCTTGGTTTGGTTCGGTTCACACAGTGTCTCACGGAATCCGGGCTAGCCCCAAATTGACTATGTCACTAAGGTTGACCTAGAACTCATGATCCTCCTGTCTCCCCTTCCTGTGTGCTGGGATTGCAGGCACGCATGGCCACGTCCAGTTTATACAGTGGTGGTGGAAGCAGGCACCCTGCCGACTAAACCACATCACCAGCCAGCCCATCTCTGATTATTTAGCTTCTTCTGAGAGGGGCAAGCCAAAGATGTCTCCTACAGGACATCTTTCCAATCCAAGCAAATCCCAAGTCCCCAGAGCTTGTCCTGGGGGCATTAATTCCATATCATGAAATTATGATCCCTCACAGGGACTTGTCATTGTGCTTGTGCCCTTTGAGGTCACAATACATTGCACTTTTAACTCTTTGTTTTGGGGCTGGAGAGATGGCTCAGCTAGGAAGAGCCCTAGCTGATCTTCCTGAGGACCAGAGTTCAATTCCCAGCAACCGCATGATGGCTCACAACTACTTCTAACTTCAGAGATCCAGTGACCTCTTCTGGCCTCCTCAGACATGCATACATGCATACACAGATCTCTATGCCCACAATGCACCTATACATATAATAATATAAGGTTAAAAAAATTAAAGTTTTATCATTTCTTTGAGGTCTCTGTACATAGCCCAGGGTAGCCTAGAACTTTAGCCTCCTGAGTGCTGGGATTATATGCAGTAGGAAGGTGGGGTGGGAACACAGGAGGGGTAAAGGTGGTAGGATATGCATTTGTACATGAAGACACACACAGTCAGCCCCAGGCATTGCTCTGCGGGGAGCTGTTTACCTTGTTGGTTTTTGTTTGCTTTTTAGGTGGAGACCAGACTGGCCTTGCTTCACTGAGATCCTCTCACCTCTGCCTCCCTAGTGCTGAGATTAAAGGCTTCTGACATCACCCTACACCAAGCCTTACACCTCATTTTTTGATTCAGAAGCTCACTGAACTTGTGGCTCACCGATTAGGTAGAGATGGTTGTCCGGTGAGCCCTGGGGATTCTCCCGTCTCTGCCTCCCCAGCACTGGGACTGCAAATGCACTCTGTGAATGCTGAAGATGCAACCCCAGCCCCCTGGGCTTGCTCAGCAGCTTCTTACCGACTGAGCCATATCCCCAGCCCTTCTTGTTATTTTTTTTTTTTAATCTCATTCCTTGCTTTCTTGGGGATTCAATGGGTCTCACTTTGTAACCCAGGTTATTCTTCAATTCCAGATTCTTCTGCCTCAGTCTCCTTGGTGCTGGGCTTGCAAATGTACAGCCACACCTGACTTCCTTTACAATAGCTTTTTAAAAAAATGTTTTTATTTTTATTCGTCTGTGTGCCACAGGGTGCCGATGTAGGCCATAAGAGAGTGTCGCATTTGCCGGGGTTAGAGTTACAGGCAGTTGTGAGCAAGGAACTGAACTCAGGTCCTCTGCTAGAGCAGCGTGCACCATGCACTCTGGACGACAGCTCAGCCATCGCTCTAGGTCTTACTTGGCAAATACTTTAGCTGTAGTAATGAGAGCCATGCCATCCATTTATTGCTTTTTCTAATCCTATCGTCTGTCTTTAAAGATCTGTTTGGCCATCTGGTATTTCTAGTGAATTTTAGTTATTTTTTCACATTTTCTTTTTGTGTCTCTCCTCGCCCCCCTTGGGAGCTACTCAGTTTTCCTGGGAACACAGTTCTTTGAAGTCAGTAACAAAGACAGGTTCCTCCAGAGAGAACCTGTGTTTGCCTCCGCAGAGATCGGTCTCAATTAAGCTCTCAGCTGGAGGTTTAGGAATTCTGGGAAGGCCCCTGGGGAGTCTGCTGGGTCTCCCTCCCAGCACTGATTTCACACAGGACTGGGTGGAGGAAACTGAACTTGAATAACTGCAAGGATTTCTTCCATGTGGGAGTGCGGGGTACACGCCATTTACGTGTGTGTGTGTATGTGTAGGAGAGGGGTACATGCCTGCCACCAAGCATGGCTGCAGGAATCAGTCTCTCTTCTACCATGTGGGACCCTGGGGTCATCAGGCATGATGGCAAACTCCTTTATGCTCTGAGCATCTTTCTAACCCTGATTATATTTATTATGTGTGTTGGGATGGAGGGGCACGTGTGTGACGTAACACTCATACAGATTATATGTGTTGGGATGGGAGGGAGCATGTGTGTGATGTGACACCCATGCAGATTATATGTGTTGGGATGGGTGGGAGCACGCGTGTGACGTGACACTCATGCAGATTATATGTGTTGGGATGGGTGGGAGCACGCGTGTGACGTGACACTCATGCAGATTATATGTGTTGGGATGGGTGGGAGCATGCGTGTGACGTGACACTCATGCAGATTATATGTGTTGGGATGGAAGGGAGCATGTGTGTGATGTAACACTCATACAGGCGACACCTCACCTGTGACAGTCGGTCCTCTCCTCTCACCGCGTGGGTCCCAGGGGTTGACTCCTGACGCAGGTTGTCGGGCCTGGCATCAAGAGCTCTCACCCACTGAGCAACCAGCAGCCCGAGAAAAAGATTTAAGGGAAACCACTGCCTCAGTATTGACGCAGCTTTCTTCTTCCCCCAAGGGCCACCTGAGCGAGGGGTACGGACAGCTGTGCAGCATCTACCTCAAACTGCTAAGAACAAGAATGGAGTACCACACCAAAGTGAGCACCTGCCGTTCTCCATGGCGCCTGCTCCCTCGCCCCATCCCTCCTCCAGGCCCTCCCCCAGGCTTCCCTCCAGACCCTACTTCATCTTTATTATTACGTTAGGGAACAGTCTGGAGCCTTGACAAGTGGGGGTGCTGTGGCCCAACTCTAAGGGGAAGTCAGCTGATGGAACAGTGGTGATCAGGGACCCCAGGGTGACCTTTTGACCTGTGACCTTTCATGGAGTCCTTTGTTCTGCATTTCACAAATAGGATAGCAGTAGTCATCCAGTGGGTGGTGTCTCCTAAGGAAAATGGCAAACTTTTACTTATGTATATATATAATTTAAGATTTATTTATAGTTTATATATATTGTCTCCATATATGTGTGGGCACCATATGCATGCAGAAGAGGGTGCAGATCCTTTAGAAGGAGGGTTGTAGACAGCTCTGAGCTTTTATGGGGTGCTAGGAACTTAATGCACCTCCTGTGCCAGAAAGAGCAGCAAGTACTGTTGACTGCCGAGCCACCAGTCCAGCCTGTCTTGGCTTTTTGTTTTGAATTATATTTTTCATTTATTTTGGGGGGTAGTATCAGAGGACAACTTAGAAGAGTCAATTCTTTCAGGGCTGGAAAGACAGCTCAGAGGTTTAGAGCGCAGGCTATGTTTTCAAACCGAGTAGGGTTCAGTTCCCAGCACCCACACTGCAGCTCACAGCCATCTGTCACACCAGTTCTAGGGGATCCAAGGCTGTGTTCTACACTCTGTGGGCAGCACAGATACACATGGTGTATATACATACTTGCAGGAAAACACTCATACGCATAAAATAAAAATAAATCTTTTTTTTAAAAAAAAATCATTTGGAAGATAAAAATAATAAAATGTATTAGGGGAGAAAAATAGTTTACTCTCCCTTTCTACCATATAGTCCCAGGCATCAAATTCAGGTCAAAACAAGCCAAAAATAAATAGCATGTGATAAAACAAAAATAAATAGACTCTTGCCTTGTTCTAGCTCCATGTCCAAGTTTTCACTCTGGAATTCAGAAGCCCTTGATGCATGGTCACCTGTCTTTCTATGATCTGTTTCCTTGTCCTATGGTGTTTTGGCTAACTCCACAGCTGAGGCAGGAGAACCACTTGAATCCAGAAGGAGATATAGCTAAATGGGCAGAGCGCTCACCTAGCACACACGAAGCCTTGGTTTTCATCCCGGCAGTGCAAAAACCTAGTGTAGTGTGCACACGTCTAGTTCCAGTCCTCAGGAGGTAGAGGCAGGAGGATCAGAAGTTCAAAGTTGTCCTTAGCTACATAGTGAGTTTCCGGTCAGCCCGTGTACATGGACTTTTCTTTCCCGCCTGTCAGTTCCCGAATAACCGCGATGGAGACTCCGTATTAATTTAAAATGCTCACCAGTAGCTCCTACAACTTAAGTTAACCCATACTTCTTATCTGAGTTCTACCATGTGGCTCATGGCTTGTTAACTCATTTTGTTCTCTTTCCCGCTTCCTCTGTGTCTGGCTGGCAACTCCGTAGACTCTGCCCCTCTTCCCAGCATCCTCCTAGTCTGACCGCCCACCTAATCTCTTCCTGCCAGTCAGCTCTTTAATAGCCAATTGTTCAAGGCTTGTTCCACAGCAGCCGTGCCTCAAAGCAGACAAATAATAAGGAACACATAAAACACTTGAGAACGTGGTCCTGTCTCTCCTAGATTCCCATGAGCTCACAGGAGTAGCTTTGGTAAGAGGCCAAGGCTGAGGAGATTGAATGGGAATCAGAAATGACCAGTGATAAGTGAGTGTCTACTACCCAGGGATTCCAGACGATCGCCTGGGGAACATTGAGTCTCATTGCACCTTGGAAGGACATACTTAGAACGTCCCAGGACTCGTGCAAGAGCGGGACCTTCAACTCTGATGATGGGTAGTGGACAGTGGGTGGTCTTTCTTGGGAGCCATTAAGGGGTCTGTGTTTGTGAGGTCATGCAGACTGATCCTGCCTCCCTCAAAAGCGTGTAGTTGACATAGGACCTGCTACACGTATTTAATATCGGCAGGCTGTGTCCACACTGGTCTCGTTGGGCTGTATCGGGGCTTTTCCCCCCTGAGGTACTAGGATCGAACCCAGGTCTTTGTGTGCGCAGGGGAGTCACTCCATCTCTAGGTTGTGCCCTCACACAGCGCTCTGTCCTGAGTGACATCGTCAGCACTCCACCCACTTATCTGTACCCTCTGCCCTCTTGTGCTTGGTTCTACCATCTTCTTCACCCAAACTTCCTTCCAGAATCCCAGGTTCCCCGGCAACCTCCAGATGAGTGACCGGCAGCTGGATGAGGCCGGAGAAAGTGATGTCAACAACTTGTAAGTGGCTATCGGGCTCCAGACCCAGTAGGGAAGTAAGCCTCTGTGATTTGGTTTTTTTGTTCCTGGAAATGGTAAGAGGGCCTGAAGGTAGGGGCTGGAGTGAGGAATGAGTCCCCCGGGTGACTTGGACTCAGGGTCACTTACCGCTAGCGTTGGTGTGAAGGTGTCAGATACCCTGCAACTGGATCTTTAGACAGTTGTGAGCTGCCATGTGGGTGCTGGGACTTGAACCCGGGTCCTCTGGAAGAGCAGTCAGTGCTCTTAACCACTGAGCCATCTCTCCAGCCCCCGCTAGTGCTCTTTCTAGCCTACCCATATGTATTTCAACATGGTTTCTCTGTCCCAGTCTCCACTAACCCCAGACCAAGCCCTGTCATCTTTCGTTTCCCCTGAGGAAACTTGAGAGGCTTAGTCTTTAAATAACGTTCATGATAGATGCTTGGAAGGAAGCTGGGGCATATGCCTGTACTGGCAAGATTGCCCCTGAGCTCACATGGGAATCCTAAGGGTGGGGAAGCAGGACATAGCATGGGGGCGTCTGAAAACCTGGCTTTGGTGACTGAGGGTGTGGTTCAGTGTTAGAGTACTTACCTAAACACTTGCCTAAAATGCCCCAGTGAGGTGCTGGGGATGTGGCTTAGCATTATCACGCTTGCTTAGCAAGTACAAGGTCATGGATTTCATCTTCAGCATTCGGTTGGGCATTGATGGGGACTCGGGCCCATCAATGATTTCTTTTTCTTCTTGTGTCAGTTTTCAGCTCACAGTGGAGATGTTTGATTACCTGGAGTGTGAACTGAACCTCTTCCAAACTGGTGAGTCTCTTCCCTCTTCGCTGACCCAAGCTGTCATGGGAATCATTCTTCTGATTCCCAGCCTGATCTGTGTGGTTCAGCTGGCCCAGCCCTTTTGTTGGTCTTTTTGTTTTGTTAAAGACAAAAATCTTTGTAGTACATGTTGGCTGCGAACTCGCAGCAGTCCTGCCTCTACCATCTGAGCATTGGAATTACAGGCTTGCACTGCCGTGGTCAAGGAAACGAGCCCTCATTTGTTATGGATGCTTAGCAGAGGGCATTGAAGCAGAGCTCTCTCATCAGCCTTTGCTCTCTCCTCGTTACCTTGAAGTCAGTTATTATATATGAGATAGGGAGACCGGTTGCTCTGCTTGTCCCAAGGAGCCTCCCTCTCTCCTGGCTACCAAGCTCTCAGAGGCTCTTTCGCCTGCTCTGACAGCCAGGGTTCCAGCCAGTCCATGGTTGGAGCCGAGCTGCTACACAGGCGTACTTTCTGCTCAGAATAGGAAAGTAGTCAGATTTTCCTTTGGGCCACCAACTAGCTCCCAAATAAAGACATGGAGCCGGGCGGTGGTGGCGCACGCCTTTAATCCCAGCACTCGGGAGGCAGAGGCAGGCGAATCCCTGTGAGTTCGAGGCCAGCCTGGTCTACAAGAGCTAGTTCCAGGACAGGTACCAAAAACTACAGAGAAACCCTGTCTCGGGAAAAAAAACAAAAAACAAATAAAGACATGGAGACTTATTATTAATTATGAATGCTCAGTCTTAACTTAGGCTTTTCCCACTAGGTCTTTTAACTTAATTTAACCTGTTTCTATTCATCTACATTTTGCTTTGGGTCTTTTTTTACCTTACATTCATTTTGTATGTCCTACTTTCCTGCTTCCTCTGTGTCTGGCTGGGTGGCCCCTGGTGTCTCTTTCTATCTTCTCCCGAGCCTAAATTCCCATCCTACTTACTTTCCCTGCCCAAAAGTCTCTTCTATACCTCTTCCCTCACGGACTGTTCAGCTCTTTATTAGACCAATCGGGAGCCTTAGGCAGGTAAGGTAAAACAGCAGTACATCTTTACATCGGTAAACAAATAGTTCATAATATAAACAAATGCAACATATCTTTGCATAGTTAAACACTCTGCAGTAAGGGAGTCTGTCTTGAACTAGGGACACAGCTCATTATGGTAAAGTGCTTACTAGCATGCACACAGATTCTTTTTTAAATCATGTATACACATGTGTCTGTGTTAGAGTATGTATACATGAGTGCAGTTGCTCACAGGGGCCAAAGAGGGCATCAAATCCCCTGGAGTTAGAGTTACAGACAGTTGAAAGCCACCCTGCCTTACATGGGTGCTGGGAACTGAACTTGGGTCCTCTGAAAGAGCAGTATGCATTCTAAACTACCGAGCCATTTCTCCAGCCCAAATAACCCTGTTTTAAAACAAAAAACAAATGAACAAACCAAACAGGCATGGTTGGTGGATCTCCGTGAGTTTGATCTACAGCCTGATCTACAAGTGGGGACAGTCAGGGCTGTTACACAGAGAAACCGTGTTTCCCCTAAAAAAAACAATAAAATAGAGTGGAAACACAGCTAAGGATACCTAAGGTTAACCTCTGACCTCCTGGATGCATGCACAGGCACACCCACGCGCTTACCCACAAAGCCAAAGCTGAAAAGCGTAGTGCGGATACTCTTGACTCTTCACTGTTCTCATCAGGCCATGTGCGTGGGTTCGCACAACCATATTGCTTCACAGAAGAGCGTCGAGAGACCCAGCCAGGCTAAGAAACTCGCCCACAGTCACACTGCTGTAGCTGCTGCTGGGGGTCAAGTGTCATTCCCCGAAGGAGATGGGGGCGGCTGTGATTTCTTGTCAGACAGCCTGTGGAAGTCAGTTGGCCCTGACGTCTGCCTTGCAATGACAGTTGCTTTTAATTTATGTAAGAAAAACTACCTTTTAATTAGGATGGTTCAGTTTGGGTGGCTCTCTTTCTGTCTCTGTTTCTCTATGTGTGTGTGTGTGTGTGTGTGTTTGTGACTCTATCTCTTTCTCAGCTACCAGACAAACACACTTACAGGGTCTCTACAGACCTACCCATGGGCAGGTCCACATATGTGGGGACATTAGAGAACTCTTATGTTGCACATTATATATCTAGGGACAGTGGTAGCCAGGGAGTGAGATGATGGCCTATAGCCAGGCATCCAATAGCTGGGCATAGAATGACATGATGTGGGTAAATACCTGGAATAAGAAATTTAGGGAAAAGCTGTAGCACAATTGGCAGAGTGCTTACCGGACATGCATGAAGTCCTGGGTTCAAATCCCCGGCACTGTATAAACCATGCATGGTAGTACACACTTCTCCCAGCACTCAGGAGATGGAGGCAGGAAGAGTGGAAATACAAGATCACCATTGGCTGCTTATTGAGTTTGGGTCCATCCTAGGCTACATGAGACCTTAATCCAGAAAGGAAGAAAATGTGTTGCGTGTTTCTGCTCAGACTTGGAGCAGATCTCAGGGGTCACCAGTAAATCTTTCCCATGCTAATCATGGGGTTCAGTACAAAGCAGAGCATCTCTCTCACTCAGTCATGATACACCAAGCTTTCTGGCCATCAAGAGCAAAGGTGCCCGTTCTACCCATCGATGACCATATGGGCTCGGCTTTGTGATCACCTTCAAGTGACTTAGGATGCATGTCCTTACCTGTCTGGTGGGGATATTCTTTCCTGTCTCGGGGTATCATAGGGTTAAATGAATCACATGAGTTAATGCACCTGTCAATCACAGGCCACACACCTGTCCCCCAGGCCATGGGAGGCTGAGACAAGAGGACAGAGCTGTTAAGTCCCTGCCTGCGCTACACAGCAGCATCCTAGCTTGAGTGAAGTTACAGAAATTGCTATGGTACAGTTCAGGATCATAGCATTTGCCTAGACTCCTCCAATGAGGAATTGGGGCTATGACTCAAGGGCAGAGCCCTGGGTTAAAATCCTCCAGTGAGGGGCTGTGGACGTATCTAACAGTAGAGAACTTCCTTAGAATATGTCAGCAAGGAACTGGGGGTATGTGTCAGTGGTAGAGCACCTGCCTAGAGTCCTTCAGGGAGGGGCTGGGGTGTGGCTCAGCAGTAGAATGTAGTTAGACTTTTCTATCCTGCCAGCCAGTTCTCAAATAACCACACAAAGATTTATTAATTATAAATGCTCAGCCAATAGTTCAGGCTTATTACTAAACTAGCTCTTACATTTTAAATTCACCCTTATTTCTTGTCTATGTTCTGCCATGTGACGGAACCTTTTTTCAACTCTGCAAGTTCATCTTGCTTCTCTCTATGACTCCTCAGACTCTTTCCCTCTTCTTCCCAGTGTTCTGTTTTTGTTTGCCAGTCCCACCTAACCTCTACCTGTCCAGCTATTGGCCAGTCAGCTTCTTTATTAAACCAATCACCGCGACATACATTCAAACACAGTGTAAAGGAATATTTCACAGTAGAAAACAAAATCCTGGGTTCCGTTCTTAGTAAGACAGAAACACAGATAAGTCTTGATGTACGTCAGACGACTGATTCTGCTCCACTGCAGCTATTTCTTCCTCACTTCAGCCTCTCTCCCCATCTTCGTCCACAGTGTTCAACTCCTTGGATATGTCCCGCTCGGTGTCTGTGACCACAGCCGGGCAGTGCCGCCTCGCACCGCTGATCCAGGTCATCCTGGACTGCAGTCACCTCTACGACTACACTGTCAAGCTGCTCTTCAAGCTCCACTCCTGTGAGTAGGACAGCCTCGACCATCTCGTGTGAGCTCAGGCTGGGAGCAGGGTCACAGCCTTGGCCAATTCCCCGAGTGATGCAGGCTACTCCGTCAGTACCATTTCCTCTGGTCTGAGGGTTCTGGGGCTCCTGGTCACCCGTGAATGGAAGGGAGTAACCCAAGCTTCAGACTGCCCCAGTCTAACTCCTGACCTTCCAGTCCTGTGTCTTAAGAGGGTTCTCTCTGTCCACATCCAGCTCTACCGTGTCACCATTCACCAAAAGGATCTTGTGTTTTTGGGTCACGTAAAGGACAACTGATCTGACCCATAACCTCCATAAGCTAGTACGGTGACCTCCAAACCATCTAACAACCCAGTCCCTTGTAACAGATGGAACTCTCTTAGAAGAAACAGAAAACAGCTACAGGGCTAGTGTAGCTCAGTTATAGAACACTTGCCAAGAACTCCCTAGCTGAGGTCATCGTTTGTAGCATTTGGCTAGAATCCTCCATTGAGGAGCTAGGGGTGTGGCCCAGTGGTAGAGCCCCTGCCTAGAATCCCCCAGTGAGGAACTGAGGGCATGGCTTAGTTGTTGAAATCTTTGTTGTTGTTGTTGTTGTTGTTGTTTGAGACAGGGTTTCTCTAGCTTTGGAGCCTGGCCTGGAACTAGCTCTTGTAGACCAGGCTGGTCTTGAACTCACAGAGATTCGCCTGCCTCTGCCTCCCAAGTGCTGGGATTAAAGGCGTGCACCACCACCGCCCGGCTAGTTGTTGAAATCTTAACTAGCAGGCATAATGTCCTGAGTTCCATCTCCTCAATACAGAAAATTTAAATATAGCTGGGTCTGGTGGCACATGCCTACAGTCCCAGCGGTTTGGAGGCAAAAGCAGAAGAATCTCTGCCAGTCGGAGCCTTACTTACATAGTGAGACACTTTCTTAAATAAAGCAATAAACAAATCGCAGCTGATCCAAGGAAGGGAGGGCTATAATTTTCTCAGCAGCAGATCCCTGCTGCACCATTAATCAAAAGCATAACTTGAGAGCTGCTGATTTGCAGACGTACTTATCCTTGATGCCCTGGTTAAAAATGTGGAGTGCTTGGCCGGACTGGTGGGGGGCTAGGGGCAGGCTGGCAGTGGTGGTGGGGGAGGTTGAGCAGGCCTAGCAAGATGGTCAGGGGAAAAGGTACTTGCTCTCAAGTCTGGGGACCTGAGTTCTAGTTCTAGAACCCACATGATGGAAGGAAAGAACCTACTGCACAAGTTGACCTTTGACCTTCACACGTGCACACAAGTACTCACGCGGGCATGCACAATCAATCGATTTTATGTATTTTTATTTAAAGCAGGCTACTCCTGAGCCAGCTTGGATAGGTCTCTGGTATAGTTTAGAATCTCTGTCTTTAAATGCAGATTCCCCAGATAAAGCTAGTGTAAATCCTCACTGGAGAAGTTTAGGCAAGTCCTCTACTGCTGAGCCATTTTCCCAGCCCCTCGTTGTCATATGCCAAGGTGATCACGCTGAAGAATGCCCATAACTTGGTAGAAAACCTAAAAACTTGGAGATATGAATGGATACTGTTCAGGTTTTATAGCCCAGAAAGGGCAAGGGTCTGTGTTAGATGCACAGAACGGTGGCTGAGTGTGGGGTGCATGCCTAGAATCCCAGACTTTGAGGGTTCTAGAAGAAGATGAGAAATTTATTGTGAACTAGGGCTATGTGGTGAATCCAACATCCACCCATTTGACGTAATAAATCCCTATCTCAAGGGGGGAAAAGTAAAATTAAACTTAAAAAAGTGTGCGCGCGCACACCCACCCATATGAAATAAGGGACACTTCATAACTGTTGACTTATAAGTAATAACCTTTTTTTATTTCATTTATTTATATGCTTGTGTGTTGCATGTGTGTATGCTCATACACACTTATGGAAGTCACAGGACAATGTGCAGGAATCTGTTCTTTCCTTCTATCAATGGGCCCCAGGAACAAAACTAAGTTCCTCAGGGTTGGCAGCAAGTGCTTCTACTTTCTACTGCCTTACAAAGCCAGATCTGGTTATCGTCACTCTGATTCAACTGGGGTCGTTTCCCTCGATAGTGTCTGCACTTTGCTGTTCCAGGGTTGGAAAGGCTTGGTGCCATAGGGCGTGCCTACAGGAAGCAGAGAGGGTGGACCAAATCCCCAGAGAAGGAGAGTCTGTGGCTTAGAAACATCATCGATTACAGGCAGGGAGTGTAGCTCTGTTGGCAGAACAGGCTTGCCTCACATGTGTGAAATCCTGCACTCCCTCCCCAGCACCACATACGTGGAACGTATGGCCCACACCTGCACTCTTAGTCTTGGGGAGGTGGAGGCAGGAGAGTCAGGTTTCTGGACTACATGAAACTTTGTCAGAAAATAAATAGATAGAGCTGGGGGCTAGAGAGATGGCTCAGCAGTTGAGAGCACTGTCTGCTTTTCCAGCGGGCGTGGGTTTGAGTCTCAGCACCCACATGGTGGCTCACACCATCTATAACTCCAGTTCCAGGAGATCCAGCATCTTCCCTGGACTCCTGAAGGCACTGCACTCACATGGTACACAGACATACATGCAGGTCAAACACTCATATGCACAAAAATAAATACTTTTTGCAAATACTTAAATAAAAATAAGCACCAAATACAAGTAAACCTACTTTTATTTATATATTTATTTTTTCTTTTTTTTTTTTTTAAATTTGTTTTTGGTTTTTTTACAGGGTTTCTCTTTAACTTTGGAGCCTGTCCTGAAGCTTGCTTTATAGACCAGAACTCACAGAGATCCACCTGTCTCTGCCTCCTGAGTGCTGGGATTAAAGGCATGCACCACCACTGCCCATCTTATTTATGTATTTCTTTTGTTTTATTTATTTGAAAGAATTTCATGTGTACCAGGTTGGCCTTGAACTCAAAATGTGGTTCAGGATAACCTTGAGTTTCTAACCCTCCTACCTAGCCCCTCTCCTAGACAGTGGGATTACAGGCATGTGCCACCAAGCCCAACCCTCATTGTTAAAGTATTGGCATGAAGTTTATTAGTTAGTGAAGCTGTGTTGATACTCTTTGTGTGTGCTGTAAAGAAACTCAGGGTCTTGTGTATACTAGGCAAGCACGTTACTACTGAGTCATGTGCTCAGCCCCTCACTGGGGGATTCTAGGCAGGGGCTCTACCACTGAGTCACACACCCCAGCCTCTCACTGGGGGATTCTAGGCAGGGGCTCTACCACTGAGTCACACACCCCAGCCCCTCACT